AGCAGCAAATCGCCAATTAACAAACGAGATATAATAATATTGTTTTTGAATAGAAGATGTTTTCAAAGCATCTTTGCATTCCTTTTAAAACTATGCCGTTGCATAATTGTATCTGTCTCTAATAATAATTATAATTATAAAGACCATCATTATAAACCATACCAGTCATTTTGCTCTATATTTATGTCTCTCCATAAACCATATTATCCGACGTAATATCGCTCAATAATTTTGTCGCCACGCGGTAAATCCGCTGCCTAATTGTGCTGATCCTTGGTTATATAGTTCCACAATCATATAGGCTGGTAAATAAATTCTAAATCATTTTGATTCAGGGAGTCTTTAAATTATTTCATTCCCCCTCCTGCTCCTGCTGTGACCTCGAAGTTCATCTCCTCCTTAATTCATACTGTCTGCTTCGTTTGTTCTCCGACATTCGAGGTAACCATAATTTATGGAAGCTTGCGTGCGTGCGTGCGTTCCACCGCATAGCAACATGACTGCATATTGCCTTCCAACATTTACATGTTTCATAATGTACCTTTCTTGTGGTTTTTCATTCATTTAGTTTCAAATTCGTGCAACTGTAAGCTAGCACAGACTTACATGTCAATTTGTTAATGTGTGCAGTACATATATGTAGGTATAAGGACAAGTCAACGTTATTAAATCCAATTTCGTAACGCGATCTGGCTGGTTTTCTACGTTTTCAACCTCCTGTACGACATGTTTCCTTGTTAATGCTCACTAGAATTTTTTGCTGCTTGTGAAGCGAGAGAGAGGGGCGGAAATTATTAGTTACAATAAGTTGGTATTTGTGCGTAGATGCCATTTGTAACCAGGCAGTCTTTCGCCTGGTGTCGGCACGGATCACAGGACAGCTTTTTCAATATTTTTTCTTTCTCTATGATAATGTATGCACATGCGTCTTGCCTACATGTATGCATACATGGATACATATTTGCACGCATGTTCACATAATTACATACACACATAGGCAAACAAACACAAACAGAATGTATATATTATGCATACAAACAGCAACACGCAAACACTAACACGTAGAAGTATGTACACAAATTCGCACAAGTATGTACACAAAATCATAAATAAATAACAGAATAAATAATAAATAAATCATAAATAAATAACAGAATTTCACTTAAAAGAAATATTAATGCATAAAATTCACACTCTAACTCAACCTTCAAACAAAAACAATTACAAATGCACATATAATCAGTCTCTTGAGGGAAAACATACAAACACACACACACAAACACATATACACACACAAACAAACAAAACTGAATTCGTTTGTGTCAGTACAAGTGAGAGAGGACATATTTCAAAGTCACGTGTGCACCTTCGTGTTGTGGATCATGTAACGAAGTAACATGGTAAAGGTAGGGAGTGTGAAATGTTTTGTTGCAAAATGCATGTGTGTTGTTGCGTACGTGTGTGTTATGCATTATGTTGTTGTTGTTACATGTGTTCTTTTATATGTAGCAGCAGTTTCTGTTGCGAGTTGAAGCTGCTGCTGCTGCAATGAACACGTGTTTATGTTTATAACTGCTGTTGTTAAATTTCAATGTGACTATCTTGCGTGTAAAATATGTTCTTGCCGTGCAAATGTGAATCTACTGAGTTTTAAGTTCAGCCGAGAAGGTTGCCACATACGTTTTATCGTCCAACGCGCGTTTGAAAGTTCTTGACAAGTTGTGTTTGCGTCACATTTGAATGGGTGCGATGAATTGTTCAGCACCTCTGCCATGCCATATGATGGAGATTGTCGGAGCACCTTCTCGTGACATATCGATGATATGAACACCCAAGAACACGAATTTGTTTGAAGGCAGAGATAATTTTCACATTCGAAATCGAAACTTAAATGTTGATTCGTATAATATTTTTATTTTTTTCTATACAATTTAGCTATATTTTATGAACGTTAAAAAACCTTTATAATTAAAAACAATTTTTTATATAGCATAATATATTTTTTCGCGAACATTATTACTATCTACTCTGCTGTGAAGCTTATGAGTCTTTGTGTCATTTGTGTTGTGATGAATTCTACTCTAACAAGTCATTTATCATGTATAGCATCTAGAGGCAGGCAGCATTATTATCTCCTCCTAGCCATTCAAACAGCGGCAGATTTCCTTTGAAGCTTTTGTGTGATCCCACGTTACGTTGCAGGTCCAGCATTGATATCATGTGCCAGCAGAGTACATTTTTTAGCAATAAAATAGATGATTGAATTCGTTCGAATAATATTAATTTTAAATTTTAATTTCAAATTTCAATATCAAATTTTAATTTCAAATTGTTAAATGTAAAGGAAAAAATGATTTTATATATTAGAAGAAAAATTCATTTTGCAATAATTTAACAGTTACAGTTACGTATGATTAATCCAAAAAATGTTTGAATAAAGGAATGAATGAATAAATGAAGAAACGAACGAACGAATGGATGGATGGATGGATGGATGGATGGATGGATGGATGGATGGATGGATGGATGGATGGATGGATGGATGGATGGATGGATGGATGGATGGATGGATGGATGAGATGGATGAATGAATGGATGGACGGCGGACGAACGAACGAGAATGAATGAATAAATGAATGAATAGATAGATAAAAAACATGTGTATGTATAGAAAAATGAAATAAATGAATGATTGATTAGAAAGATATTGAACATATAGATTAGTCTCAATTTCTTGCTGGACTTCCCTCTCAATTAATCAGTCACTCGTACCAGGGAACTGACCGACAGGAGGCCTCCTACACGCGCCAACTTAAGCTGACAAAGGAAACCAGCATGCAGCCTGCACATCACGTTTTTTATCACACATACACGCACATACAAACACACACACATACAAACAAATACACACACACAAACACCTACACACACACGCACAAATATGCACACGACATAATATTCATTAGCAAATACCTATACAATGATTTTTACCATCACTTGAATACATAGCAGACGAAACAAAATTTTGTTATTTTTATTTTAATGATTTTCGAGTTTCTTAATGGTCTTTCAACTGATTCAACCTGTCAATAGACCGAATGTTTGTACTTACACACCAAAGTTTTGAGTTTTCAACATGTTATCTAAAAAATATACCAACAACGACATATAATGAACATGCGTTAGATAAGATAGCATCAACTAGGCCCTGAAAGATATTACCCCAGATCAAATAGCATTACATTAACTATGCCAACGACGACGCCAGCTTACATTAAATAACATTACAACAACTACCTACGCAGAAACTGATAAAATATTTCAAAAGAAACTCGACCTGACCTATTTTTGGATGACCTACATAAAAAACGAACCAATCATTTATGAGGGGTCAGGAAGCGATGCATGTGTGTATGCACTGACGTAAAAACAACAACAGCATGTATGCACCGTTTGTTCTTGGCTTGTTTTTCAAGTTATTTATCGTTAGAAATATTGGCATACGCACTGTCGTTCGTCATAAACAACGGCTTAAAGATGCGTGTTTATCGGGAAAGCAGGCATGTTTGGTTGATGATGCGCGGGTGCAGGTTGCTAGCAGTCAATTTTTATCATCCATTTTTATTTTGTTGCGGTTTTTGTCTTTTGAGTTGCAGAACATTTGTTGTGTTCGTATGTTTTCAGTTAGTTGACCCTGTTTCGAACTAAGTTCGAAAATTCCTAGTCAGCCAGCAACAGAAAGTATTCATTTGTTAAATTTTTTGCATTTGAGCACGTAGTTGAAACATAGCTGAACATGGAAATCATGAGAATGATGCCATAAAGCAAAAATTCAGAGCAGCAGCATCAGCAGCGGCAAATTGTTCTTCCAATATTGATCTGCGGTTGGCCGAACGTTCCAAACATTGAAACGTCGGATTAAACACAAAAATTCAACATCATCATTACAGATACGTCAACATTTTCAAATTTTTCGTTGAAATTTGTTATCTTTTTGTTTCAAACATTTGAAAGTAAATCTTCTTCATGCCGCGGTGTGAAGTTTTGTGAAAAAAAGAACGAAATTTGTTTTTTTTTTACCAGCAATACTAATTTAATTATTTTTAAATTCTGTTGTTTATTTCACAACCGCCAGATGTTAATTGGTAGAAATTTCTAACAAGATTGGAAATTAGTAACAAAATATAATCATTGAAAACTATTGGGTAACAATAGATATCGCTCAAAAAAAACTTTTTAATAATATATTTCTTTTTCAAAACTTATTTTTGATTTTAAAATAATATTTTTCCGTCGTCAAACTGTAAAAAAATTTTTTCCAATATTGTTTTGTACGTGACTTAAATGCTGATTAATTGAGCATTCGTGCAAGCTGCTTTAAAAGAGCAGAGATAGTGCATGCACGTTGCCAAAGGCAAGAAATGCACGTGCAATCACATGCACAACTACATGCTAATCGCTTATTTGTTAATTGATTCTTAGCAACTGGTCAAGCAACAAGATAATATATGAACCTCAGTTAAGCTTGGACAGTTATTGGAAAACAATAAATAAATTTGAGACAAGGAACATTATATCCATCAAACGCTCTAATGAGAATGCTTACATCAGAATGCGTTGTCAGGGTGCGTTTGGTCCATAGGCAAACATCAATGTGTATTTGTGTGTGTTTTTGTGTGTTTGAATGTTTGAACGTTTGAGTATATGTGTGCCAGCGTCTGCTCGTGTTTTTGAGTGACAGTGTGTTTACGTGGATGCGAATACTTTTGCTGATTCTTGCGTGTGCGTGTGCTTATGAATATGTGTAAAAAAGGCATGTGATGACGATGATGATGAGTTTGTTTGCAAATGCGTCTATCAGTTTAAATCTATTTAAAATTCGTCACTTGAACCACACGTTATTGAGGCGTTCTTTTATTTTTCCATTTTCATCAAGTTTTTTTGTTTAACTTTTTAATTAAACTGGCTCAAACTGTGTTCTATTTAAAATGAAACTCATATTACGATAGCTGAAGCGGAAGTTTCAAAATCTCGCACCAGTCTATGTGTTGCATGGCCTACATGTTTGTAGCATGTTTGCAAGTTAATGATTTGTTTTATAAAAAAAATTATTTTATTTATATGTTTATTATATTTAAATTATGGTTACTTTAGCAATCTATAATGCTTATTTATTTAAGTAATTAATTCTTAACAATATAACTGATGTCAATACTTTTAAAAAAGTCATTTCGAAATAAAAGCTGCTTATCGTTCTGCGATGGGAAATGATGAATTTTCACTAAAAAAGTGCAAATAAATTTGTGGATTCCTTGAATTAATATCTCGATAAGCATGTTTTTAAATTACAATCTAAAAATTGTAGACACCATAGAAAAATGAAAATATCAACAACGACGATTTTATTAGTTTTCGTACAACGGAAAATAAATGGTTAGTATTGCCAGTGTAATAATTTTTATAATAATTTCAGAAGTACTCTCATAAATGATAATCTGTAAAGAATTATTTCCGATAGAAGCGATCTCGGAGATGCAAAACAATGCATTCACTTCAACGTTCTCCTAAGCTGAAGACTTGCCCCAGGAGATGTTTCGCTAACATGCTCCCCCCTAACACCAACGTACTCTTAACCGAATTTTACGAGCAAGATTTTTTTAACTTCACTTCTTCTTTCTAAAAACGCAGAATGATTTGTAATGTATATTTATCCATTGTGCTACAAAAAATGTTGTTTCTCCTTAAATTTATAACACGCTGTTTTTGGCCAATGTTTCATTAGAAATATTCTGAACATGAGACATTTAAAAGCCATGAATGAACACCTGATCACTGTCGGCCAACATGTGCACCTGGATATCTCCTCCACGGAACATGCAGTTCAGTTTGATGTACTGCAAAATTGAACCAATTTCGTAATGGCAACCATCGCGTGACTTCCATCTTAATAATGGCAGAACTTTCAAATTGTTCATATTCTCATTATGCCTTCATTTTTTACATTAAATCTTGAAGATATTAGATTTTCTGATGAAAGTACATTTTTTCTAACATATACAAAGTAATAAATGTCGCATTTTAAATCGTCAAATTAATGCTACAAAAAATGTATGTACCATCATCTGAATATGCGTAAAAACTTAAAGACCAAAAAATTGAATAGAAAAAACTAAAAATATAAATGTTGCATTGAAACACGATAAAAAAATTGTTCATCTAAAAATCTTGCAGAAAAAGGACCTGGTAATTTAAAATGACGCTAAAGAACAAAAAGCAGCCCGTCGTAAATCGTTGATTAATCAATGGAGATCAAACGTGGATCCCCGTTAATTTGCACACGACGATACGATCTACAGCCCAAAAACTAATTGAAACAGAGTAACGACCGTGCAAATATTTTTATTTGCACAAAATGGTCACAAATAAAAACTGTTTTAATATGAATAAAATTTGAAAAATAATTGGCAAGATGAACACAAGGACCAAAATAAACTAACCTGCCGTTAGCTGCTTCTAGTTGGATATTTTGCAGGAGCACCTTGACCACTCTTGGGTGGGTAGCAAAGAAGTGGTAGTGGCAGTGGGTCCTGGCTGGGTAGTTCTGGGGGTACCGTGGCGAGAAAAACTTCCCTGAACTCAAACCTTTTGGCAGGTCGTAAAATTCGTAATGACACGGTGTATTCCACTTTCTTACACCTCCTACCATCTGGAACTGACCTGCGAACGTTTGCGTGTGATGAATGAATAGTAGGTGAAATGGATAGATGAATGATGAATGAATGGAAAAAATAATCAGGTGAAGTATGAATACTCATGTAAATGAATGGTGAAAGAATAGTAAACGTAGATGATGAATGAATGATCAATTTGAATGCATAGATTGATGTTGTTTTGATGGTTTGCAGTAGTTTGTCAACAATTGTTCATTTACATTTTATTCTGCTATGTTATTATTTTGAGTCTATCAAAAAGCGTTTTTGCAATATGAATAAGAAATGATTCTTTTTTTTTCCAAGTTTATTTGAACAAAAATATTCAGGAGATCAAAAAGTAACTAAATACTTGTGGAGACCACCCTAAAATAAATTATGACTATGTCCTAATTTCACATACAGAATAATGTAGTTATTCAATTAAATTAAACATAAAAACTGACATATATAATATATATATATATATATATATATATATATATATATAGATATATAGATATATAGATATATATAATATATACTAGTTTATATTTATACATGAACCACACAATACATAAGATCATTCACACATATGAAGTTAAACAGCTTCACACTCCTCACTGCTCAATGTCTATCATTCATGGTCAGTTCTACCGTATGTCAGTTTCAACATACTATGCTGTCTAGTCCTACCAGAAACAGTCTCTAATGACGTAATTTCTCTGTAACCATCAGTAATCAAAACATCAGACATGCAAAAGTTTTTCCATCTTTGCCTAACAATAATTGCTATGTTGTAAGAGCCGGTGTCGCCACTTGATTAGTCAAATGTTGATTTTAATCACTGTTGATACTGTTCTTCCTCTTCTTATATGTTGATGTATGTTGTCACTATTTTGTTTATTGATAACTGGTTTTTCAATAAAAATTCAATCTAGCAAAACTACTTTGTTGAGCCATATTTCAGGATTTCTAATTTTAGGAAGGTCTTGTTTGACAATGCATAACCGAAATGACGTTGAAGGTGTGCTGTCATCATAACTTTTGTTTCATCATTGGGCCTTTTGAATGTGGGATTACAGTTTATCAAATTAATGCCGTTCATTTTTAAATGGTCGACGACATTTGCACTGGTACATTCAGCAAGATTTCCAACATACAATAAGATTTAGGAGTTTTACCTGCCTTTAGCTTAGACACTTCATTTCCTTTGCCAATAATTTTATTATGGTTGTTTTAGTTACATTATTGATAACCTGAGTACTATTTTCAGTATCCATAAATTAACTAGGTGGTTGTCGCCTGTTTTTACGATTGCCAGTCGTGAAAGGATGCAAATTTACATCACCTGGAGATTTTAAAAGATCGGATAATAGATTATTGGCTGAAGTCGTTCCTGATAAAGTTCAATTAATTTTAGTAACATAGTTGAAATGAGCTGAATACTCCCGGTTGTGTGACATAACATTTACTTTATCTTTAGACTCCTGCACGTGTACAATAGTATTTATTTTATCTTCAAACACGTGGTTTACCGGATAGGTGCACTTATCTAAAATATCAGCCAGCTTAATGAACATTTGTGCAATCAACATACGGTTATTTTCCACCTTTTCATTCAACTTTATTAGACTATTAATATTTTTGTATTAATACGTTAATATTTTGACTACAATCTTTAGCGAGTCTAATAGTAATGTGTTCTATATTGAACATTGTAAAGATAGGTAAAAGACAGGGTAATTTATTCTCAAATACATATTTAACAGAATCAGTTAAATCACTAAATTTGTTAAACTTTAAATTTTCACGATTGGTAGATTTAGCATAAAATTTATCTTTCTTTATACTTCCAAGTTTTGCTAAAATACTCTTCTTAACAGGAAAAAATTTACTTTCATCAAGAGTAAAAAAATTCATTTTTACAGTTCTAAAACCATTGTCATCGATAATGTTTTTATTTCTAAACAGAAACCACAAAATTTCACTGATGTGAATTCTTTTATTTACCTCCGTTATATACAAGTTACCAATAAATCTGCTTATAAATGGACTCGTCCAAACTTAAAGCCCTGATAATACAATAAACCAAAAAAATCTTTCTAAAACAAAATTAGGCTAAAAAATTATAACTAAAATACTACGTCAAATTTATTTAAGCAAATTAAACCAAATTTAAACCAAAACTTCAGTAATAAAACGATAAATTATTATATGGATAAATTATATGGAATTACGAAACTTACCATTTACTTCAAAAAATTTTTCTTTAATTCTTGGTCACTAAATCAAATTTTTTCATATTTTTTATTTGTAAATGTATTTCATTTAAATTCATCCGTGAAATATTGAATAGTTGATCAAATCTACTGATGTTCAATCTTCCAGATGTAAATAAAAGTCTTTCAACTTTTTATTTCTATCAAAAAACAAATTTCAATAATTCGAACTTAAATTTTGGAATTTATTTAATTTCACAGTTTCCCACAATAAATTTGTTTACATTTGACACACAGTTGATGTCTTGATAAAAGTGGCCGATGTCAAGTGTGTAGCATGAATTTTCTCTCATCTTTATTTTAATGTTTGTGTAAATGACATAACGTAACATAACGCATTCCAAAATTAAACACGTGTAACAAAAATTACGAGCTTAAGTTACAAAATCTATAGAACCGCGTCTGTGTTTTCCAAACAAATATATAATTTTAACTAATGAGAAATTATAAAAAAAATAAATGAATAGAGGGCAAAATTATTAAATAAATGAAAAAAATTATTTAGCAGTAATTAAACCAAATTTTTTTATTATAAACTAAATATAATTTGTTATAATTTAATAACTAAAAATTGTATTTTAGGAATTAACTTTTTTAAAAGAAAAATTTGAGTGAACAATATGTTTCGGGGGAAAATTTTTAAATTTTTTTTTCTCTGTAAAAAATTTGATTAGTAGTAGAGCAGTGCATGTTTCTATTTGAATGATAGCGAATCAATCTTTGAGATAATGATGCCTTAATTAATTTTTTGATGATAACGATGATGAAGATGATGATGTTTCTGTTGTTGTGTTGGTCACCATGTTGGTGAAAATGTTGAAGATGCTATGTTGTTATGTTGTTGTTGTTGTAATGGTTGTTGTTGTTGTGATGGTTGTTGCTGTTGTTGGGCTGCTGCTGTTGTTTTAGTAACGTGCTTAATGATTTTATGTGGAAGAGAGCTTTCCATTCTTCAATTATATCCGAGAATCATTTGTTATTGTCCAAGTGCATTTTATTTTATTGTTCGGTTACTTTAGTTTTGCTGTTGTTTTGGCAGTTTTTCTAAATCTTCAATTTAGTATCACTTTTGAAATTGAAATTACAAACTCTGCGTGTATGTTATTAATAATACTATAATTTTATTGAAAATGTTTTCTATTTTTATATTTCTGAATGAAAAATCTTCGTATAAATGTTTGTTCATCACGACTGTTAGATACAAAGTTAGTTAGTTGGTACAAAATATATCGGTTGGTCTATTTTTTTCTTCCGTTTAAGAGCTGATTGCGGTGAAAAAAAATGTGTCACCTTATAGAAACTTTCATAAAATATTCATCAAGTTGAAACGCGGTTGTTGAGAGGAACACATCATAAAAGGCTTGTAGTCAAGAAGCAAAGCTCCTCTTTTTATGGCGTCGTAGTGTTGGTCGCATGAAAATTTCATGCCATTGTTTTGCTTCAAGTCGTTTGGAGAAATTAAAATCATTCTGACTAAGGAAAAATTATTTTCTCGCCAAAATAATGCGACTTTTTTTACTCACAATAAATTTATTTCGAGAAGTAAATTAATCTAGTTTCTACTTTAATTTTTCATCATACTTAAAAATTCAACCATTTTTTACTTACTAATTATTTCATCACTATACTTAATTTTGAAATTTTTTAGCAATTATATTAATTAATTTTTAGTTCGTATTAAAAATGATTCAAAAAAACCTTTTATGAAATTTTTAAAATATCGTTATCAGTTTTTCTTTATGTTATAGAAAGAATTTTTATTTGCATGTAACTCTTTTTTAAAAGACTTCATTTGAAATTCAAACAAAGAAAGTAGCGTGAGGCTTTTGTGTCAGCGTTTAAACGAAGAATGTATTTTCCAATGGAGTCAGCATGGCTTGAAATCTGTCACGGGATTGTATCAGGTTTTATTCCGTTTCATTCCAACAAAATATGCAAATAATTTATTAAATAATATTATTTAGTGTCAGCAGTCATTTCAACTGACATACATGATATTATGTAGGATCAATAAAAACAACAAATTTTAAATTGCCTGTAAATATTTCTAACTTTTACTATTAATCAAAACATAAACGACATTTTCCAAACAACATATTTGTTACATAGTAGAGTAAAACACCTTCCCAACGACCACCCCATCTACGACTCTTTCTCATTCCCGACCGTTTTGTGTCTGACGGATTGTTTTCACATTAAGCGTCACTCCCGATCTACGACTCCCTCCACAACCCAACCAGCAACCTTAAAACCACAAAAAATATCATTAGAACGTAAAATTTACAACTTTTTAAGGAGTGACAGCGGAGAAACTGCAATCTCAATTGCAAAATCATTGAATGTGGGTAAAACAAATTCAGTGAATTGTACAGGACTAGGCTAAACAAAGAAAATGTGTTTACAGACACTTCAAAAGTTGATTCATATTGCACTGACTCATGGATTTCAAGGCGTTCCAAAACTTTTATAATATTTTCATTTTCTAACAGAACATCTTAAAAAGAAGTCAACAGTTGTTCAACTTTCACTTAATTTTTTATTAAAATAAATTAAACTTTTGAGTTTAACAATACAACATGGTTTTTTACAACATGACTATAATACAATGCACTGTACATAAACTAATAAAAAATAATACGCTTTGTGTACCTTTTAGACCCCTTCCTTTTAAGACCTGATTGCTATGACATTTTCAAACTCGTTAATAGCAAACACTAGATATTAATGGTACGTTTTATGAAGAGCAATCTTGAAAGATATCTTTTATGTAATACAAATTTATATTTCGACTCAAGAAGCTAGATATAACTTTTCAACAATAAACGAAATAAAAGAACATGTTACTATATGTTAAATAAAATACGGGAAACATTTTAGACCGAACAAAAATAATCTGATTATTTGTCTTTTATATATCATGCAATTCTTCGCAGTGGCATTATTTTAATTTCAAACTTTTTGATCACATAATAAAAACAAAAATAATAATGGCGTTTAAAGTCAGAAAATTGATTTAAAAATTTGTTCAATGGAAAAATTTGTTATTGCAAATTATTTTTATATGTAAAATAATCTTGAACCGTGAAATTTTTTGGTTTGCTATGAAATTCATTTTGCAAATATTTTAAAACATTTTTTGCAAATTCAAAATTAACTTTAAATTCTTATTTAAAATTCAAAAAAATTATTTAAAAATACGGTTGACAAAAGCATCTTCTTAGAGACATGAAGAAGAATGGTGCACGTTTGAAAGTTTATGAATTTAAAAGTTGATGCATGGGTCTGCGTAGCTTCAACTGGGATATTCAATGAACTCCTACGTTCAACATCCGTCATAATTTCAGGAAGTTTTCTGCCAATTCCAACATTCAAATCTTTTCTTTTTTTATACACGTTTTCAAAAAAGCGTCTCAAATTATATAAAGTTATTAAACATGTAGTTATTGTACTTCATAATGTTTCTTTTTTAAATTAA